GCATTTACCATGCTAAAGTCAGTATGATTGAGGCTAATGCTGCTATCAAAGCACGGTTTTTAGATTACACTATTTGGCATGATCGCCTGGGTCATCCTGGTGCGAACATGATGCGTAAATTAGTCCAGAATTCTAAATGGCACAGCCTTAAACCAAATGGTATTTTCCCTCAGTACCTCAAGTGCACAGCTTGCTCACAAGGGAAACTGATTACCCGACCTTCACCAGTCAAAGTGTCTAAAGAGACCTTGAACTTTCTCGAAAGAATCCAAGGAGACATATGTGGACCAATTCACCCACCTTGTGGGACATTCAGATATTTCATGGTCCTCATTGACGCATCGACCCGCTGGTCGCTTGTCTGTCTGCTCTCTTCTAGGAACCAGGCTTTTGCTAGGTTATTGGCCCAAATCATCAGATTACGAGCCCATTTTCCAGACTTCCCATTAAAGACTATACGTCTTGATAATGCTGGTGAATTCACTTCCCAAGCGTTTAATGAATATTGTATGTCTATGGGGGTAAGTGTTGAACATCCCGTTCCACATGTCCATACACAAAATGGATTAGCTGAATTCTTCATTAAACGAATTCAATGGATTGCTAGACCATTACTCATGAGGTCACAACTCCCGGTCTCAGCTTGGGGACACGCAGTCTTACATGCCGCTGAACTAATACGCATACGACCATCTAGTGAGCACAAATATTCACCATCCCAATTGCTAACGGGTCATGAGCCAGACGTCTCCCATATTAAAACATTTGGGTGTTCAGTCTATGTACCCATTGCACCACCACAGAGGACTAAAATGGGACCTCAAAGGAGGATGGGAATATATGTTGGTTTTGATTCTCCCACCATCATAAAATATCTCGAGCCAACTACAGGAGATCTGTTTAAAGCCAGATATGCATATTGCCGATTTGATGAATCGGTATATCCTAGATTAGGTGGTGAGACAGACAAGCTGGTAAAAGAACTTTCATGGAATCAAACATCCACACAATGGCAAGATCCTCGGACTCTAGAATGTGATTCAGAGGTCCAAAGAATTATACATTTACAAAAGCTAGCTAATCAATTGCCAGATTCCTTTGCTGACCCAAACAAAGTTACCAAATCGTACATACCAGCTTGTAATGCACCAGTACGAATAGATGTCCCCTCAGGGAAAAGTCAAGTTGCTACAGAGTCTGACGCACGTAAGAAACGTGGCAGACCACCAGGTTCCAAAGATAAGAATCCCCAGAAATCAAAGAAAGGTGCAATGATTGAAACCGGGATTCAAGAGAACACGGATACAACCTCAGCTGATACTTACCCTATCGAACCATCTCAAGAGGTTTGGGACGCCAAAACTCAAGGTTCTGAAGGGATTGATAATAATGAGATCTCAATCAATTATATCATATTCGGTTCTCTATGGAACAGAAAAGATGTCGACATCAATGAAACTTTTGCATACAAGGTAGCACTTGAGATTGCGCACACGCAAGAGGATCTAGAACTCACGTCTATAATTGAGTGCACTCGTAGATCAGATTGGCTGAAATGGAAAGAAGCCATAAACGTGGAGTTGAATAGTTTAAAGAAACGGAATGTGTTTGGTCCGATCTTAAGGACACCATTCGATGTTAAACCAGTGGGAAACAAATGGGTCTTTGTGCGTAAAAGAAACGAACTCGGCGAAGTCGTTAGATACAAGGCACGCCTTGTAGCACAAGGATTCTCACAGAGACCCGGAATCGATTATGAGGAGACTTATTCTCCAGTGGTGGATGCAACTACATTTCGATTCCTCATAAGTCTGGCCATAAGAGAAAATTTAGATTTGCGGTTAATGGATGTTGTAACCGCATATCTTTATGGACCACTGGACAGTGAAATCTATATGAGATTACCAGATGGTATTGAGCTCAAAGATAAGCATGCATCTCGTGATAAACACTGCATTAGGCTGAACAAATCCTTATATGGACTGAAACAAAGCGGACGTATGTGGTATAACCGGTTAAGCGAATATCTCATCAGAGAAGGCTACGAAAACGATCCGATCAGTCCATGCATCTTCATCAGAAAATATCAAAACAAAGGATTTGTAATCATAGCAGTATATGTGGATGACTTGAACATCCTCGGAACATCTGGTGAAATCGCCCAAACAGTTGAATGCTTAAAAGCAGAGTTTGAAATGAAAGACCTAGGCAAAACTAAATTCTGTTTGGAATTACAACTTGAGTACGTCAATGACGGAATCCTTGTGCATCAATTGGCATACACTAAAAAGGTACTCAAGAGATTCAATATGGACCAGGCCCACCCATTGACCAGCCCAATGGTTGTGAGGAGCCTTGGATTGGATAGTGATCCATTCGGTCCAAAGAAGGACGATGAAGAAATCCTCGGTCTTGAAATGCCATACCTCAGTGCCATAGGAGCATTAATGTACTTGGCTAGTCACACTAGACCAGACATCTGCTTTGCCGTGAGCCTCTTAGCTCGCTTTAGTTCGTGTCCAACTCAAAGGCACTGGAACGGTATTAAGCACATCCTTAGATACCTTCAAGGTACTAAGGACTTGAGATTATTTTATTCTAACCATAACAAGGATGGTCTAGTTGGTTTTGCTGATGCAGGATATTTGTCAGATCCGCACTGTGCCCGGTCTCAAACCGGTTATGTTTTCACGCATGGAGGAACAGCCATATCTTGGAGATCCATGAAGCAGACTATTGCCGCTACCTCATCCAACCATGCGGAAATCTTGGCCATTCACGAAGCTAGTAGAGAGTGTGCTTGGTTGCGGTCCATGACTCAGCATATCCGATCAGATTGTGGTATAGACGAAGATAAGGAGCCTACGGTGATGTATGAAGACAATGCAGCTTGTATCGCTCAACTCAAGGACGGCTACATCAAAGGTGACCGGACGAAGCATATTCTGCCCAAATTCTTCTTCACTCATGAGCTACAGAAGAATGGTTAGGTCAAGGTTCAGCAAGTCCGATCAAGCGAAAATTCAGCCGATCTATTCACTAAATCATTACCGACTTTTACACTCCGGAAGCTCATTCATCAGATAGAAATGCGTAGACTTAGAGATCTACAGTGATGCCTAAACCAGAGGGAGTAATGCGTGTTGTACTCTTTTTCCTTCACCATGGTTTTTCCCACTGGGTTTTCCTGGTAAGGTTTTAATGAGGCAATGTTCCCCAGCGCATTATAAAGATCCCGGTTTTGTGACAGGCACGGTTATCTTGTCCAAGGGGGAGTGTTATAAACAAATGGACTTCTAATAACCGGCCCATTAACCATCAGGTTAATGTCTCATGGCCCATTAGGGTTTTTGATACATTAATTATGTAATGTATATATACACTGCTTATGGAAATAATAAGATGAGAGTTTTTCTCTTAATAGATGTTTCTTAATTTGTTTAGAAACAAAAATTAGTTGCAATGTTGATTATATTTGCAACATATGGTTGTTTCTTCCTCTTCAAGGCATTTAAAAATAAAAAAGAAATCTTCATGCTTATAATGTGAGATTTGAACCAATCAAATTTGACTTCGAAATCATAATACAATACTTATTTTTGATTTCTTAACCCACTCCACTCCTCGTGTGTTCCTCTTTCTTTCTTGTTATTTTCAAAGATTTCGAGATCTGACTCGTTCTCTTCAATCTCCATTATTTTAAAATAAGTTTTATTTTTCTTTGGAATTTAGCGGCGTGTTGTATTATCATGATTCATACCATTCAACTAGTGAAGCTATGGATACGATTGGACTGGTAAAAGAGATTGTCATATACATTAAAAGTGGTAAGAAAATTAGCAACGGTATCTTGTTTATCTTTTTGCTCTAGTTCTTTTTTTAATAGATTGTTTAGTATAATGCCGTATTCCCCTTACTTACTCTTGTCAATCTATTAAACACATTTAGTACTTGCTTCCAAATATTCCTAATTTTTTAAGTGTTTAAAAATAATTTTAATAATAATTTATATTTAATTTTGAAAATTAGTTATTAATTTAAATATTTTTAGAGTTTCTTAAATATAGGTAATTTAGATTTGATTTGATTTGATTAAAAATAATAAATCAGATATTAATTTAGATTTGATTTAAAGATTCTAATTTAAATAATTTTTATACTATTAAACATTTTTATCAAAAATGTGTAGAATTTTTGAAAAAAAAATAATTCACATATGAAAAATAATGGTCATATTTGAAATATAAAATATTTATAATGATGTAAATGATATGATATTTATGTTGCTTATATAATATATTTACGATTATGATTTATTTACAAATTAATAATAAAATAATAGGTAAAATTCAAATGTATAATTTACATATTAAAAATATATTTTTTAAAAATCATAGAACTAAAAATATCGAAAATATTTTGGTAACTAAAATCATTAATTTTGAATTATACATGTATATCGAAAATATATTTTTCATACAAAATAAAAACATAAAAAAATAAAATTTATTGCATACACTAAAATGTGGTTTGAAAAACCAGTTGTACAGTCTCTTCGTTGATTAAATTTTAGAATACTATAATGTTAAATAATACTGTTAATACATCTCAAACTTTTAACAAATATTTATATTATACGGTAAAAATTATATTTTTATAATCATAATTAATTTTAATATTATAAAAAATTTTATAAACACAAAAATCAATATTTTCACTTATTAAAAAATATATTTATAAAAATAATTATATCTAAACTCAAAAACACAAATTATATTACAAAATTCGTTAAACAATAAAAAATATTTCCGTCCGCACGGGTTAAAATCTAGTCTATTATTATAACAGCTTGATTGTTGATTCGAATAATTAACCAAAATCATTTGGATTTGGTTAATTAGTATGGTTTGTTTGGTTTTGAAGTCCACCAGTATTCAAAACCAATCTAACTTTTCTATCTCTTTTGTTCACAAAAAATGAATGTAGAAGAAAAAAGCAAAATTTCACGGGTTTCAACTTCGTCCATGTGACAATATTTACAGAGACGACAACAAAAGTTACAGATCATCAGAAACATCACCTGATTTAACAAGGAAACATTAATTTACAAAAAGTCACTAAACTAAACAGCCATGGCCATTACTAAGAGTAGAGACCTTCTTACTAAGTTTAAGTTTAACCACCACGAACTAAATTAACCAATCCGCTTCACGCGCCTCGAGCAACGGCGGATGCTCCAGCCACCGTCTTAACCTCTTGATTCTCCGCCGGGAAACCGAAATTGGTAGGCGCGTGAGGCCCAATCAGCTGAATCGCTGCGTTATCGTAAGCAAGAGCGGCTTCCTCGGCAGTGTTGAAAGTGCCCAGCCAAAGACGATCGCGTCGTCCCTTGAGAGCTCGACCGCATCTGATCTCAGCCGCCCATTTCCCCCACGGCCTCTGCCTCACTCCACGGAATTTCTTCTTCTCCGCCGCCGCCGCCGCCGCGAGAAATTCCGCCGGAATCCTGATTTTGAATCGCGTCTGGGAGACACCGTGGTGGTTATCTTTGGAATCTGGAGGATCGATTACGATCTCTCTGACGAGCCGTTTCCCACGGCGGCGAGGAAGGGAAGCTCCACGCTCCTCCGTCTCTTCTTCGCTAGAAGAATCGGTGGCTTCTGCGTCGGTGAATGAAATCCTCACGATACGCTTCATCTGAGAGTGAAATTGGGTTTGTGAATTGAGATGTTTAGGGTTTAGTCTCTTCCCTAAAAAGGGAAGAAGGATTCCTCAGATTTGGCATTTTAGAAATTTTTAGATGCTTCAGAATATGTTTTTATTCTCTCAGAAATCAGAATCTCTCTTTTCTGATGCCTCTCCATTTAATAATTATTTGATTTTTTTTTTTTTTTCCTAACCAATCATGAAACATGTCCACAATATGAGTCCATAAATGACGCCATGGAAAAACAAAAAAAAAGAAAAAGTTCTGTCCTAAACTGACATCGATATGAGTCGAATTATGAATTAGATTTATAAGAAATATTTCCTTTCAATTAAAAATTAAGAATTATAAGTGGCGAATCTAGAACTAAATCATGAGCTTCATCTTTGACAAATTATATGATGAGCCTGCATCAAGTGGTGGAATTGGAAGATTATGAAGGTGAACACATGAAATATGTTTTACAATTTTAAAGAAATCAATATCAAAAACGAGATGAAACTAATTTTTTTTCATTCAAAAATTTAGAGAAATTTTTTTTCACTCATCACATTTTTGCAAAACCAACAAAGTACAAAAGTAAATGATGATATTTATATATTTAAAACATACATATCTTAATCTTTGTTTACAGTTTTTAGTAGCTTAAACATCTTCATTGTTCACATCACATGGGTAGAAGTAAAAATTACATATCTTATCACTAGTCGTCTAAAGGTAAAACGCCTACTCTTTTCTCTAATATATTTTTGAATAAAAAACAAAATTAACCGTTAGAGGAATCATATATGTAATAAGAAGCAGAAAATGAGGAACAACTTGAAACTTTAATCACACCGAATCAGAAACTGCAGAAACATGAACAATGCTCTTGTCTTTGCCTTCCGTTTCAATTTTTCTATGCCTCAATTTTAATGTGACTATAAAGTGGATCTATTTATATATGTGTAAATTAATATGTATATATAACTATAAATAGTTAGTGTGTTTAATTAGATTGATCACCAACATGCACGAGTCGTCTTCTTCAATGGACTTACTCATCTTACTCTTCGCTCTACTCCTTGTAGCATCATCTCCTGTGGCTCTGGCCAAGTCTTCTCCCTCCGTTCCAGCCATCTTCACCTTCGGTGACTCCATTTTTGACGCCGGAAACAATCATTTCAACAAAAACTGTACAGCTCAGGCTGATTTTCCTCCTTATGGTTCTTCCTTTTTCCACCGTCCTACGGGAAGGTTCACCAATGGAAGAACCGTCGCTGACTACATCTGTAATTAAAAAAAAACATCCTAATTACATATTTCAAGAAAAATACTAATCTTCTTCAAGATTGCTTCTTACGCAAGGCACATTACTTTTCTCTCTTATTGCAGCGCAATTTGTTGGCCTTCCATTTCAGAAACCATTCTTGGAATTGCGGATTCAAATCTTGAACGGAACTTTAAAAAGATTCCCTTCAAATGGGATTAACTTTGCCAGTGCTGGTAGTGGATTCTTGCTTGATACCAACAAAGAAATGGTAAATATATATAACTGAATACATCTCTCGTTACAATAAAAATGTTCGTTTCTTATGAAATTATCCGTATAAATGCAGGCTGTGACACCAATCCAAACCCAGCTTCAGCAATTCAAGACACTTGTAGAACAAAACCATATCGAAAAATCTATCATCCAAAAATCTCTCTTCTTGTTGGAGTCTGGTTCCAATGACATCTTCAATTACTTTCTTCCATTCCAAACTTCTACACTCTCTCCAGACGCCTATGTGGACTCAATGTTAACACAAGTGAACAAAACCATTGATCAAATCTACCAACTAGGTGCTCGTCGCATTGCCATCTTCTCTTTAGGTCCAGTGGGATGTGTCCCTGCAAGAGCCTTGCTTCCTAATGCCCCAACCAATAAATGCTTTGGTAAGATGAATGTTATGGCCAAGAAATATAATACAAGACTTGAAGATATAGTCAACATAATTCCCACCAAGTACCCTGGAGCCATTGCTGTATTTGGAGCTGTCTATGGTATCACTCACAGATTCCAAACTTACCCTGCTCGTTACGGTAAACAATATATATAGTTATTTTTTTTAATTAAACAATATAGTTAATTAACGTCTTTCTTTTCAAGTGTTCATCAGAAACATTGAATCATGTTTTTGGTTAAAAAGGGTTTTCGGATGTGTCGAACGCGTGTTGTGGGGACGGGACACTGCAATGTGGAAGAGAAGGGTACAAGATTTGCAATAACCCAAATGAGTTTATGTTTTGGGATTTTTATCATCCGACAGAACGCACTTACCATCTCATGTCAAAAGCTTTGTGGAATGGAAACAAAAACCAGATCAGACCGTTTAATCTCATGGCTCTTGCCACCAACATCACATTTTAAAAAAAACTTATTTTCTGCTTGTAATGCATCATTCGTGATGAGTTTGTGTCTAAATGTGGGAATGTAAGTGAACAGTGAAGTAAACAAAAATGGTCAACCTCTCTGAGTTTACCAGTAATTACTTTGTGAAATCAAGGACTCCAAATCATTCCCAAAACAAAAGCCAGAAAGTGAAACTTCGCTTCACTTCTAGTCTCTTCCTCATCTTCTAATGTAACATCAACACGCTACACAATGACTTTATTGTTTTTTTTTCATATATTTTTATGAAAATACAATATTTGATTCTATCTATCTATACTTATCTACTATACGTATTCTGCAGAAACCTTAGTTTCGTCACCTGAGTGATGATTATCTAAGCCGTTACCAAAGCTACCTTCTTTTACTTGAGAGCGTGGATCCGCAAACACTTCCTCCCTTTGGGGGCGGTTCGCATAGAATATCCACAGCACAAGACATAGTAACACTCCCACAGAGATCAGTCCGAGTCCTGCGTTCACAATCCTCAGATTACGCTCCAATGGTGGACAGTAATCTGAGGTAATACTCTCAAATGTATCCCTAACAAAGTTGCAGTCTCGGAAGCTAAGCAAAGGCGGTGTGTAATGCTCGAGTGCGTAGCTCTCATTTACAGCTGCTACCAGCTGCCTATAGATATCAGGCGTTACTCTCCCTACAGTTGTGCAGTTCCCGGATTGTGATACTTCGCATATGTAACTCTCCCAGACCTGAAAACAAAAAATGTATGAACAGGATCATTAAGACATGCTTTAGACTTAGTGGTGTGTTTTGTTCAATACATACAAAGATAGGTGAATTGAGTAATACCGATGATGCATTTGCTATTGACAACTCCTGAGGCGCGCACTCGCGTTCTTCCATGTTTGCATCAAATGGGCTGCACAAAGGAGGCATTGGAGGTCCAGACTGATTGTAATAGTGGTCTTGGCCTGGAGATGGGTTTGTATTGGCATAGGCATAGACAAAGGTATTCACAACGGTCACGATGCTGTTGATGACAACTTTGCTCTGGGCAAGAGTCTGGTTTGTTGTTTGCTGATCAACACATGGGAGGATGCTGCTGAGAGCTGTTTCTGCATGAGGATGATCAACCCATTCCTTCATGGCTACGCACGTATCCGAAATTGCACTGGACAGCAGAACAATGACATTTAATTACTTTTGCGAGGCTATTTAAATGGAAACAGAAACAAACAATCGAACAGAGAAATCTTACTTGTTTAGGATCAGAAAGACTCCACAGAGGATAAATGTCACAGCCACCAGTATCCACCCGCTCACGACGAATCTGCCATCAAATTCATCCCCATAAGTCAGAATTACATCTATATTACAACACTAGAAATTAAAAAAAGTTAAGATGTTGAGTTTAAAGGGCTCACATATGAACAATGTGTTGATAGCGGAGGACAGAGAGCACTGTAATAACCGCAAAGAACAGGTAAACGTTAATGTCAAGTAGATACCACAGCTAAATCAACTAGGAACACCAAAGAACCAGATGAACATAAACTGGACTTACAAAGACCAAGAAAAGAAAGGATGAGCATCACAGTAGCCACCGCGATCAGAGCAGATCGCCTGAAAAAAGTACATAAGACAGAGTTAGTATGGACATATTTCCCCTTGTAAATCATAAATTGTACCACTCAGTAAGTTCACGATACAAGGTTCAGGGCAACCTACACAGCATAGAAAACTCTCTTTATCTTAGCAGAATTATCTGTTGTTTTCTCTTCTAGCGTTTCTGCTGCAGTTTTCAGATTGACATTTAACTTTTCGATTTCATCCACTACATTAGATGGAACGGAAAACCGTGTCACGTTAATCGTTTTTGCAATGGACAGATACTGAGTCACATTCTGGAGGATCCCAACAGTGTAGTCTGACTGGTTCACCACATACTTTAGAGTATGCATAGCTTCAGTATGAAACTTATTCTGTCCAACAGACAAAAGAATACATCCCACCCTGAAAAAAAAAGACCAATTCCATCTCAGAAACAACAGAAAATGACAATGAACACTAATTCAAGGGAAGATTTTGAGATTATTACGCTGCAGCACAAGTAAAGACAATCAACAAGATGAGACAGATGAATCGTGAGTTGTATGATGATCCCTTGGCTTTGTCACATACTCTCCATTTGAAGCAATGGTATACAACAAGAAGAGAGCCAAAAGACAAGATCCAGACAGCAGCTAGAATGAAACCAGGAGCACCTGTAAATCCAACGGACTGAAAAAAATGGCCATTACTACAGATCCTAGAACTAAACAAAAATCATCAGGAGACGACAAAAGGAAGAAGAGAGACTTACAGCCCAATAGTGATTATTGGTGATGTTCCAGCCGCCACGGTAAGGCTTGAAAGCTCTAAGAATGTCAGGTCTCTTGGTTCTGTCAGCTGCCAAGACGAGGTAATCAGAGAAATCTGCTGAAGGTCCTGGTGCTAACGAATCAGGTGAGATTGCTCCTTTCCATGATCCAAAATTAGTCGAGCCTGTGATTGTAAGCAAAAGCAAAACAATTCACATGATCAGAATTTCATCAAAGAAATCTTACAAAACTCATCACAATCCTAAGCTCGATTGATTGCACTAAGAACAATAAGTAATTATCAGGATCAAGGACACAACATTCCAAGCATTCAAAGATTGGAAAATACAAATTCTACAATTAATTGCAACCAAGACTAAAGCTACAAATCCCAGATAATGGAAACTTCGAAAAATGTTTTTCTTTTTAGTTTGGAGTGTAAAACATAGAACCGAAAACAGCATAAATCAAGAAAGTAAAACACACATGAGAATTGCATACAGCGTGAAACACAGGGAAGAAAAAGGAGAGGAACCTAATAGGAGCTTAAGCGGATCCTGTGAGGCTGCGGCGGATGATTCACCGGAGAAAGCAACGGAAGGCGGAAGAGGAAAGAAACCGAGAGCAAGAAAAACAGATACGAAGAAGACAAAGAAGCTCATCTTCATCTCTCACTGAGCAGCTACGTCGATACGAATCCGAGGCATGAGAGAAAGAGAGAGAGAGAGATAAGGAGAGAGAGTCGCTTTCGTCAGATCAGAAAGGTCGCCATTGTTGAAGAGCTTCGAAAACGCGGGACATCGGAGAGATTTTTATCCCCCGCGCTCATGCGTTGCATCAGCTTGATTTTTATTTGTTTTGCTTTTTAATTGAGAAAGTGAGAAAAAGAGAAGGCAGAGAGTGCTTTATTAGGCACATTTACTTACTCTTCTTGTCCTTTACCACTTTTTGAGTTTTTTCTTATTTTCACATTTTCACACTTGTATCATATTTTTATACGCTTTTCACACGCACGCACTTTATAAATCCTAAATTAATTAAAATAAAAATTAAATACCCTGGTGATGGATTCAGTTGGTGTTTAAGTATAACAACTTGGCCAAATGTTATGAAGTGTTGTTAATTAGGTCCTAATTTGGAAGCATATTGGGTTTATGGTCAAACAATAAATGAAAATGGTTTGTTTTCAACAATTAATGATTTCGTTAATCTGTTAGTGCACACTCAAATGCAACGCATGGTTGTTTGTTTAAACATTAAGATTGTGTGTAATTAAGGAAAAGTTGATTGATTGAGGGCAACATTGATTATAAGTGGGTCCCATAGGTGCCTGACTCTTCATGGGCCTAACGTGTTGGGTTGCGTCCCTCCGTCTCGGTGTCTCTCGTGGCGATTTGTTTCTGTAGCCACGTGGGGACCTTGAATCTGACGGTACATTGATTGGACCATGAAATTTTTCAAGTCTCTTCTTGTGTGTTGTTTTGACTATAATGTGTGTAATTTAATTTGCCAAACAGATTATTAAGGAAATTAGTAACTAGTTCAAAATCATGCAATCTTTTTTGTCCATACAAGTCGTATGAATATCGGATTTCAGTTTAAACCGTACATGAGAATTGTTTTTTTTTTTTTAATTTAGACATAATAAATTGGGTTTAGGACATACTGCATGTGAATTTGATATTGCACATGGATTTCTTTTCTATTAGCACAATAATATTGTAGTTACTTTTCAAAGCGTTACGTGTGGAAGAATTTTCACATTTAACTTTCACGAAAAAAAAAAGTCATTGTTGAAATTCTTATATTGTTAGAATAATATTAGCTTTTGGACCTGGCTTTAAGACTTTGAATTACCATAACTTGCGGTTGAGGTTATGGGATCTCCAGACTTTTTAGACTCTTCCTATTGACGGCAAATTCTTTTCTCGAAAGTAACAGGAAATATAAACTATATTAAAGTGTCCAGTCCAATGACTTCATTTTTGCAATAAGATCTAACAAATTTTAGCTATAGTACAAAAAAGCTGATTACAATTTTATACCTAAATCACTTTAATGTGTATGGGTGGGTTTGGTATTTGACGTACGTCTCTACTTTTATCTTTACCAAACTATCAAAAGAAGTTTATATCGTATATTAAAGTTATTCTTTATTCTTTAATTAGTAGTTTTGTTTTGATGGCATTTTTAATTAGTATTAGACGTCTCTCATAGACGTAGTGAAGTAAAAACCTAATATATATGTTTGTGTATGGTATTGTATATTTGTTTGGTTGTGATTCATATTAACATGCCATTAGGATGGGTCATTTGGTAGAGTCAAGATCGTTCAAATGCGTGAAGAAGCATGTGAGAGGATCATGTGACCCAAAATGTGTGAAACCTTTTCTTTATTTATTGGAGATGCATCTTTCTTGCTCCATGACAAAACTAACCCATAACATGTTATTTTATCCTCCCGTATTAGAAAGTGTCGATTTTCCAATTATTTAATTTGTCTACCCAAATTCAGATTTTACATAGACAATTTTGTTGTTGTTGTTGTATGAAGATCAAAGTGATGTATGGATTCTTAATTTGTCAAATAAAATGAAACTGATCTCTAGACTTGATTAGTAAAACAAAATAGCACAACTACACTAATCGTTAAAAAATTAATTTATTCACACTGTTGCCACACAATTATACATTTGAATTGGGTTTCAATATTTGGTCTGTAAATATTATGTGATTTCAGATTGCATATTAGTATAGTGAAATCTCTGAGACTAAAAGACGAGATCCACAATATACAAACGAACAAAAATGAGCAAAATATCCCCTTGTCGACGAGATTTCGCTGCCGACATCAATTCTTGTCAAATTGCACCCGAAGTAAGTTGAAAACATTTCAAAACCAAAAGCAAACATTTCAAAACCAAAAGCCTATTGGTTTATGAAAGAAGGCCCATTAAGCCTTTTTGTTTGCAATTTTCAAATTTCTTGCGAAGTAGGAACTATCCATCGGAGCAACCTCAATGGTGAATCCCTCACGGGGTTTATCTCAATTTTTTATTCATTTAATTTTGAGGAATGAAAAATTTAGAACCCATCAAATTTTCTTCTCCAATGGTGATTCTTTCATGGGTTCATAGGAAATAAAATAAAATCATGGCAAAGTGTAACCAATTCGCTTAAAGCAGGCCAACACACCAAGAGTTTGTAATGAGAAGAATAGCAGCAACAACATCATTTTCAACAACAACAACGAAATAAAACCAACCAGAGAAAGAGTTAAGATTCAACAAAGTAGCAGCAAATGATTTATAGATTCTACAAAGACGAGGAAATGATGATCATGTAGACAATCAAAACACCAATGTTGTTGACCAGAACAGAGACTTGAAGCAAAATCTTTCCACGTCTGCCAAAAGAGTTACCCATTAAGCCACCGTAAGACCGGATTTTCTTAATCTTACTAAATCTAAGATCTTCATTGTTGCAGGCAAAGCCATGATTCCAGCACCGATTATGGTTGTGGCGAGATTGAAAACCGCGCCACTAAACGAAGCTCCGTTGAACTCGTCGTAAGTAACTACGTCTCCATGCGATTTCGGAAACAACTGAGCAGTGACATCGTCGGAGGAGGAACTGCTCCTCTTTGGGATTGGAGTAACATCTTCAATCGTCATCTTCCTATCGATAATCGCAAGCTGCAAATTCAGAGAAGATCGAGTAATCGGTAATGGAAAGAAAAATGTGACAAAACTCAGATAATAGCAAATTAATTGAAGGGAAATAGCGAGAATCTTACAGTCAAGGTGATTTAGAATTTCGATGGGAGAAAACGAAGAAATAGCCATCGGAGAAAACGCAGGAACTGAAAATTCGATTAAAAAATGAAATTGTTTTTTGCCTATAGAAAAATGACACCTGGCTGATGAACGGGCCCTAAAAGTTCTTATGCAAAAGGCGATTCATCTCATATTTGGGTTTTTGATTTTTTTAAAACCCAAAAAAGCTAAAGGGCCCCACTTATGAACCCTTCAAGAGTCACCGTTGGAGCTGCTCTCACAACTTCTTAAGTTTCAGTAACACAAGTCTGATGCACTTGAGAGTGACGCAGTTTTGATATTTAAAACTTTCTCTATAGTCTATATTGACGATTGCGGAGCATACTCTGATACACATCTTATTATATAAAAGAAAATGATTCAAAATTAGTAACTTACCAGATGTGACACATGTCAAAATTATATTTTGATACGATATTTTATATATTTTGTGTGATTTTTGGATTTTTTATTTTTAAAATTAAGGAAAATAAAAAAAAAATTCTAAATTAAAATAATTTTTTTTTTAAAAAAAAATATATTGTAAATTAGAATAAGGAAATTGAACAACCAATAACAATAAACACGAGGAATAAAAACAATAAAAAAAACTATATAAAATTGAATGTTTCAAAATTGTTAATTCACCTAATTTCAATATGTGTCAAATCATAGTTAAAAAAATTGATTAATAAAAATAAGTTTAAAATTTTAATAATTAATTCAAAATTTGTAAAGTACTAAATTTATTTTAACATGCAAAACTAATAGAAAAAATCTTAATTTTTCTATTTGATGAATGAGGTTTTTACCTTTATATAAACCATAATTTGATAGTATATCAATTACACATCAGAAAATTGAAATTTTAATAATTATAAGATTTTATTATAAATCTGTATATATGCGGGTACTTATCTAGTATATATTTATATAGGTATATGTATTTTTTCTTATATGTTGCATCATTATCACTACAAGAATGAGGGGTTTTTCCGTCGAAATATTTACGACGATATATAGTCGTCGTAAATTTACGACGACGTTACGTCGTATTTACGACGACTATAAATTTCGTCGTAAATTCGACGTAAAAAATGACCGTCGTAAAATCGTCGTAATCTTACGACGATATTACGACGAATGAAGAACAAATTTTATTTCTTCGTAATATTGTCGTAATATTTACATCGATAATACGACTAATTGTCCTCTATATTGTAATTGACGTAAAATCAATGTAAATGTGATATAAGTTTTATTTCGACGTAAATTTGATGTAAATATTCAATGGTAATATGTTGGTAACCAAACAAAAAATTCTATATATACCCTTTCTTCTCTCATTATTCCATCACCCAAAAAAACATATAAAGACACAAATGTTGATGAAGACTAATTAAATATGTTGACATTTAATTGCATGCTTTGAACGTTTCAATGTAACATTTGTCAAATTTAAATTTTTGAAAAATTAAAGCCATTTAATGAAGACTAATTAAATGTTGATGAAAATTTCTTAAAGTGTTGACTTGGACATATGTTGACTTTTACGACGAATTTACGATGATTATTTGGAAATCGTCGTAAATTCGTCGTAAAATGCAAATCCTAAATCCTATCGGGTTTAGCTTTCCTAACTTACAGAATGATTTTTGGGTTCATTTTCCTAAGTAAACTGATGTATTATATAAGGGTCTGTAGTATAAGGTTCAGGAACTTGTAGAAATGTGGTTTTTATTACGACGAATTTACGACGAATGGGAGTGATCGTCGTAAATCCGTCGTAATATACCATCGAAATTACGACGAAATGTAACCCCTAAATCTTATAATCAATCTTTTATGGGGTTCAGGGGGGATTTTTATGAAGAGAATGAAATGGCTTACCATCTCATAAGGTAAAACAACTTTCTAAACAAAAAAAAAAAAAATTCAAAATTTGACATATATGTGTTTATCAAGTAATCTTAAGGTGTTATATACATTTACACAAGATGTATGGATTTATCTTACATTTTACTAAATTCTTCATTAAGTTATGTAAACATGCTAGAAAGTTATACATACCACATTTATCATGAATAGACATGCTTGTATGTGCTTATGGATGTTTCAATTTTTGAATTTCATCAGTTTTGGTATAATTCGTCGTAAATTCGTCGTAATATTACGACGAATTTACGACGATTTGTGGATACACAGCCGTCTTAATTTTTATAATTTATACGATTCGTCGTAAAATCGTCGTAATGTTACGACGATTTTAAGACGAATAACACGGATCATCGTAAACTCGTCGCAAAGCCCAGATACAGCCACGTGTGTTTGTCTTATTCGCTTTGTTGTACGGTGGGACCTTTGCGACGAATTTACGACGAATTCGTCGTAAATTCGTCGTAATGTTTACGTCGAATTTACGACGAATATAAATTCTATATATAGGACCTCACCCCTTCCTCATTTCGTCGCTCATCTCTCCTTCCTCTCTCTCTGCTTCCTCCTCCCTTGCATTCCTCCTCCATTTGACGCAAAAAAAGGTAATTATTTTTTTAATTACTTTAAATTATAATATTATTAAATAGTTTAGAAATTCAAACGGTTTAGGTCGGAAATTAGTTTAGGCTCGGAATTTGTTAGATTTAGGATCGGAATTTCTTAGATTTAGGATCGTAATTAAAAATTAATTGTAATTAATTTGAAAAATAAAATTTTATCGGTTTTGCCGACGATGACTCGACGGAGGACGCATTACATCAATTTCATGGCGGACGGACACTCTTCCCGGACAGTCTGTCTTCGGCTCCGGTAGTGCAGACGGGAAACGACGGCCCAGCAGCGACGGGTGGCCAAGACGGAGAGCCTCCTCGTGACGTCGATCTCAACCTCGACGATTACGAAATCACTGTAGATTAGGTTTTTTTGTAAAAAACATTTTGTAATAATTTTTTTTTATTTATAAATTATTTTTGAATTTAAATTTCAATTTAAATTGTTTTTTTTCTATTTTTAATTTTTTATTATTTTCAAAATTCATTAATTAAATTAAAATCGAATTAAATAATTAATTTATAAATCGACGTAAATTCGTCGTAAATTTACGTCGATCTAACGTCGAATATTTAACGATGAATTTACGTCGAATAAGTTTACGTCGGATTTACGTCGAAACTTTACGACGATTTAACATCGACAATTAAAAATTTAGTTTCCTTTAATTGAAATTGTTCGTCTCCTAATCGTTGTTAAATCGATGTAATTTTACATCGATTTTACGTCGTTCTTATGATGGAGTTCTTTCGTTGTACTTCCGTTGGAAATTTTACGTCGTATTTACGACGAATAGTTTCCGACGATTTTACGACAATTTTCCGGAGTTGGTAATTTTACGACGATTTTACGACGATTTCGGTTTTACGACGATCGTTTTACGACGATTTTTTTTTCGTCGTTAATTCGACGTAAATGCTCTTTTACGTCGATTTTACATCGATATATGCCGACGTAAAACCCGATCTTTCTTGTAGTGTATTTACTAAAATTGTATAAGTTTTAAAAATGAGCGAATCTAACGCTTGAACATATCAGATAGATGAGAAAAAATACCATATTTAGCAAATCAAGATCCATTTAAATCGGAAGTTAAAAAGATAGCCAGATTAAATTATATGTGTCTCAATGTAAAATGCATCTAACTTTTTCCTATATATATAGCGAAGTTCTTCTTTCTTTTTAACTTGTAAAACACCATCAATTCATTTATCTAAGATGAAGAAACCTTTTCAACTCTTGTTTACTATTCTAACTTTCTTCATCATTATTGTGCTAGGTTTGTATATACATTTAGAATCATCTTAATATCTTATATGTTGTTTTACGAGAAACTGATTTTAATCTCATACTATTTCTTCAAAATACCAGTTCTTTGAAAGTTATACATTATATCAAAATTACTTTTACTTGAAGCTCCATATAATTAGTAGCTCTTTTTTTATGTCAAATTCATACCATATCTAGAAAATTGATTGCTAGATCTAGGAAACCAACCGCCAAAGGTATTTTTAAGAATTTTTCTAACTATGTTGGTTAATTCCTTCATCTATAAAATAGATGGATTTGATATATTGTGAAAAAATTGTGATATATAATAACCTTGTATTTCCATTGTTTTTTCCTTCTTTGTTTCATCGTAGATTAACTCTTTCGCTTCATGCTACATAGATAAATGTGTCACAGTTTTCTTGTGGTTTTCATGATGCTCTTTGAATATTTTATGTAAATTTGAATGATATTTATCAAGCTGCGTACTCAAACATATTTTCCTGCAACGAATATATATATATATATATATATATACTCCTATTTTTTTAGTTGCTGAAATTGATATAATGATAACTGGGGAAGGATCAACGATGTATGCCAGTTCCACTTAAGACAAAAACTGGATTTTGTGTTCTCCAAGAATGTGAGACTCTGTGTACGAAGAAACCCTAAGACGTGCCATTGCTGTGGTTGGTGGCCTCGTGGTTAATAATGTCGCTATCAAATTATTTACAATAAACTTTTTTTTTCAACAATTATTTACAATAAATTAATGCCATTATTATAAGAAAACTAAACCTTTGTTATAAGAAAATTATAATAAAATAATAATATATTTTGTTTGCAGTTTGTGAGCGGTTAAATTGTACTAGTACCAATCACATTTAATGATTGTTATGATTCGATGACCAAAATATTGAGAAGGAGACGGATATGAAGTTAGATCCTCGATTTCAGATATTTTTTTAGGGAAATCCTTGCATAACTAACCATCTAATCACTCACAATTTGACTAGTAGTTTTCGTATCTAGTCTTGAAGGAGATTAAGTTAGTAATTCGCTAAATTTTAATACATATTCTATATATTTTGTGTGATTTTTCTTTTCAAATTAAGGAAATTGAACAACCAATAACAATACAAATAAATAATAAAAAAACAAAAAATATGTAAAATTGAATGTTTCAAAATTATAAATTTACCTAATCACAACATGTGTCAAGTCTTAAGTTAAAAAAAACATTAAATTGATTAATAAAAAAACTGAAATTTTAATAATTGATTCATAAACTGTAAAGTACTAAATTTATCATAACATGCAAAATAAATATGAATGAGATTAATTCAATTTTTACTTCTATATAAACCATAATTTGATAGTATGTAAATTGAAAGTTCAATAATCTTATTCAAAGCTATATACTGCATTTGTCTCTCTAAATAATTCCTTCAAATATATAAATTATGTATTATATATTTTTACGGGTGATTTAATCTTTTTTTTTAGTTTTTTCATAGTCTATAGAATATTTGATTACAAATTTGCATATATGCTGCAGGTTTTTATCTAGTTTTGTGTATAGGAAAATCTTAATACTAAAAATCTTAATAATAAATGTCAATAATATTTAAAACATATTGTTTACCAAAGATTCGCGGTACTTTTAATAGAATAGATCTGGACATAAAATATCCGGATACTTTGGTAAATATTAGAAGTTTCATAACTTCTATCGATAGAGGAAATGTCATAAAATTTTCAATTTTGGAAAAGAGTAAAATTTTGAGTACTTACATCTCTAAATATAAATAGCTCCGGGGCACTTAAGTCTCTATTGCGGAGGTTTTATCAGTCAAAGTTCCTTACGCTTTGGTAAATAGCGGAAGTTTTAGGCAATTTAGTACAAAGAGTAAAAGTAGCGGGTTTGTTTTATAAATAGAGATAGTTGCGGCACACTTTAGAAATTGCGTCGAAACTTTTTTTAAAGCAGTCTTCAATAGTCAAAAGTCAAAACTTCTACAATGAGTCTTTGACATAACAACAAGTCAAAATACATAACCAGATCCCTCTTATGAGAGAATCAAAAATTGAACCATAAACCCTAATTTCTCGGCTCATTTAGCCAAACCTATTCTTGACGGTTACACCGAATTTCCCGGCGACGATCAAGGTGGTCGCAATCCCCAGAAACATCCCGTGTTCCACAACTCCGGGCAACCTCAATATAGCCTCGCTCGCCGCCTCTAAATCTCCGATGTCTCTCTCCAAATACAGATCCACCACGTAATTCCCGTTATCCGTCACAGCCGCCGTTTCGCCGCCGCTAGATCCGATCTTAACCCTAAGCTTCGCCTTGCATCCCGCTTCTCGAAACATCTCCTCCAATTTCCCTCTCGTGAAATTGCAGCAAAACGGCACAACCTCTACGGGAACGGCGAGTCCGCTTCCTCCGATATGCTTCACGAGCTTCGATTCGTCGACTATCACGACGAACTTCTTAGACGCTCCTTCCACCATCTTCTCCCTCAGTAGCGATCCGCCGCGTCCTTTGACGAGATTGAGAGATGGATCGACTTCGTCGGCGCCGTCGATCGATAGATCCACGATCGGGTGCGAGTCTAGATCGGATAATGGTATGCCAAGAGAAACCGCCTGCTCGTGCGTCGTGGTTGAAGTAGGGATTCCGATTATATCTCGGAGTTTTCCTTCTCGGAGAAGCTCGCTGATTCGATTCACGGCGTGTTTGGCGGTGGAGCCAGTGCCGAGGCCGACGACCATTCCAGATTCGACGAACTCGACGGCTTTATAGGCGGCGATTCTTTTGAGGTCGTCTTGTGTGAGATTTGAGAGAGGCGGCGAGTTGACGACGGCGGGTTCGTCGGTGACCGTTGAAAGTGGATCGAATGTAGAACCCATTGGTAAAAGTAAAAGAGACGCGACTTGCTTTTGTGATTTGAATGCACAAACAAATGTGTCGATGGAGTTTTAAGGAAGGAAGAGAGACTCTTAGCAAAGACTAAAACCCTTTATGAAGGATCGTATTCGTCCTTTTTTACGGTTCTTTTTTAGTACATGTATAGACACGTTTTTAAAAGCTAATCAAATAGATACGGATATTTCGGACAGTATATCTTAAGTAATTGAATTTGCATTTTACATGTCATCAATCATCATTATGCACACACACATTGTTAATTTTTAGTAGAAGTTATTACCATGATTTTGATGCTACCAAACAGAGGTCATGAGTGAGTGTATCATGCCACTTGGAGAGAATTCAATGGTAGAGAAAAGAGGCATTATTATCTTTCTCTTGCAAAATCTTACTTCCTTATTGTCAGATCTTGATTCTACTGCTTCAATCAACTGAGCAAAATTAAATGATTTCTCTTTTAAAATAACATCAGATTTCAAATTTCAAGGCATAACACGTTTTCCAGTAAGTTCCTCGCATATTCCAATCTTACCATCTCTCAAAGCAGCCTCTCCACCATTGTGTCTAAGGAGGTTTTTTTATTTTAATTTTAATAATAAAAAATGTCACTGTTCCGTGTATACGCATCTTATCTAAAACATGTGAATACGATGGTGCTCTATTTAAAGATGATTTATGCCTGGAAACAAGGTATCACGTAACTTGGAAGTGCACGGTTCATGCCATTTTTGGTACGAATGCTTAGCTTCTTAAACATTGAATGGATCATACAATCTAATAAAAAAAGAGTTTGCAAGTGGGTCATTTATTCACCAAACACACGAATTGAATATCAATTTCTTTATCCATCAAGGTTACATTTTTCATATTTTTTGTTTCCTTCGATTTATGGCATACCTTGGAGAGTATCAACAGTGAGCTTGAAGAAGATGATAATGTACAACGTAAGGGACAACAACGCAAAGGTATGCTGCCAAAATAAAAGCGCCGAGGCCTCTCTAACCGCATAACCCCTTAGACTCGCGATGGCTCCTAGTAAAATGGCACTTGGTGTCGAATACTGCAAAAGAAGCACAAACTTGAACATCGGATCTGGAGAAATGAGACCAAGTTTATCAGCAGACATCACAATCCCTATTCCAACTAAAGGAAGAACCAAGAGTCTTGCAACACATATCCCGATCGTAGTACGTAACCCGAGAGTTGATTCCCTTGGTCCTTCAGAGAGCATACCACCAAGAACAAGCATCACAGAAGGAACCATTGCGCTCCCCATTATATCCAAACTATCTGTGATGAAAGAAAGTGGAGCATCGTACCCAAAGACAATCTTTTTCAGCTGAGGCACTGATCCAACAACGATGGCTAACAGAGATGCGATCGTTGGAGGTTGGAGTATGTGTTTGACTGGAGTCTGTTCAGCTACGACTCTTATCCTCCTCATTACTCTTGGCTCAGCCAAGCACTGAAGCGACCTGGGGCTTGAAATCTCGCCTCCGGTTTCTCCCCTGAGATCAACTTCAGGCAAAGAAGTCTGTGAGTGACTCGAGTTGTTATTGAATACCCTCGCAATGAAAGGAGTCTTGCAATGTTCGGTTTCTTTGTCCTCGATCCCTGGCCATTCAGCTTCCACTAGAAGAGGCCTACTAACATTATGAGCAGCCACATTAACCTCTTCTATCTCAACCCCTTCGTCCTCAACAACCTCATAGTACTCCAAAGGCGGCTCCATCATGTGATACACAACAGTATACACAAGAATCACAGCGACCCATTGCGCAAACGATACGTAGGTAACTCCTCTCGAGTGGCAATGCGGCCCAAAAGGGTTGTTCTTGGTGTGACACACTGAGCTAACAATAGCTAGCAAGAGATTCCCAGTGTTTCCAAAAGAAGTCATGACGATAGTGAATCTAGTGAACTCTGGAGGAGGCCGACATAAGAGAACGACTAAGTATCCTATAAAGGACCCTATGATCGTACTGAGTAGCACGTTGACCGGAATAAACCACCAACGAACAATGTTCTCTAAGGTAATGCTTTCTCCGAGCTCAGTAAAGATAAGACAAGGCAAGAACAGAGCAAAGACGAGCTTGCTTAAGAGCCTAAACGTAGCTCTGGGTACTAATTGAGTCTTAGGGTGAGCAAGAAGAAGACCGATCAAGGTTAAACAGATAAGCTTCATCAAAGGCACAATACCACTAAGAATATCCTCAACCCTAGAACTAACATTGTTACCGGAAAGTTCACTCTTAAAAATTGACATCTTGGATTCAGTTTACCTGAATATGACTCTTTATCTCACTGTGCAAAGCAAAAAGTCAACGATAGAAGAAAAACACACAAGAGGGTGACCAAATTGGGAATTACAACACAACCCAAGCAATTGATTGAGAGTCTAGAAGGAGGAGAACTATACACAGAAGCGACGAATCTGAATCGGAAGATGGAGGAAGACCCAAAAATTGATTAGACCATATACTTGAGAAGATAGTTTGGCAGGGATAAATTAGCTGAGGCAAGAACACCTGTAGCTCACATGGAGCTGTCATTGAGGAAGATGACAAGATTGCGAGAACAGATGCACCGTCCACGCGAAATCTATTGATTGCATCATTTATTTTTCTTTTCTTGAAGATTCTTCTCGGCTACAAAATTTCATGGTTATCACTTAGCATATCGGAAGAAGATATTTGTGTTTTGAGCATATTTAAAATTGGGCCAGCGATCACACGAAGGTATAAATAAAGCCCAATAAGCCCGAGAATTTTCGAAAAATCAGTAGTCGATAAAATCTTAAACCGAACCATAGCGGTCGATGACCGGTTCATAACCGGTTATAGTCAGTTTCGTAACACGTTTGGCTGGAGTATTAGACCATTAAACGCACGTGGGAATAAAATAGCTGCAACAAACCAAATGGGTCCTTGTGAGGATCCTACACAGACGAATTGACACGTGTATCCATATAATTGGTTAAATAGATTGAAAAGCATGAATCGGCGGGTATCGGATCCGAAATTCTGATCCCGGATTCGTTTCTCTGCCTTAAAGAAAAACCCTACGTGAGCAGCGCCAGTTCTTCTGGGTCTTCCTCATTTGCGAAACGGAGAGAGAGACCTCGGGTTTCGTGAGTTTGAATCATCGTCTTCTTAATGGATCCACCTTGATCAATCGTTGATCGTCCTCCCGAAGATGTCGAATCACTCCAGAGATGAGCCCAGCACCGCCCCAAAGACAGATCAATGGTATGATCTGGTCCTGGGTTCCTCTGCCAAGGATGATTCCTCCCATAAGTTCTGCACTTTGCGATGTGAGTTCCGAATTTTCGATTATGCGACCTTTCTCGTGATTTTGGGTTGATTTCGACCGAATTTGATCCATAGTTACTGATAGGATTAGCCATTGAATTAGATTAATTTCACTTTAGGTGAGATTAGTTATTAGAATGGTTTTTTTATCACGGGAAAGCATTTATGTTAAGGTGATATGAGCTTGCAGATGAATTCAAGCCGGCTTCTATTGACAAGAAAAGGTCAGGAACTCTGCACAAGAAGAAGGATAACAGAGTTTCAGTTGAGTTCCAAAATAACCAACCTGGTAAACCCAAGGTGACATTTGACGGAAGCAGCGAGGATTACAAAGAAAACGACGCGGTGCTGTTTTTCGACGGGGAGAAATTCCGTTTAGAGAGGCTGCATCGGGCTGTGAAGCAGCTGCGACATCTTAGGACACCTGGTGAATCTGCTGCGGCTTCTCAGGCTGGTTCTTTGCCTGTGGAGCATCGGTTATCTCCTGTTGGTCGTGCTGCCAAATCTCCACAAGTGAATAGAAGCTTTCTTCCGGATGTGCCTGTGAGTTTACTGAATCTCTTTTGAGTAGTCTCTTTTTCTCTAATATTGGCTACTTCCCATGAATGGACAAATTTGTGGATTTGGTGTTGAGGTTAGGTTGTGGATTTGGTTTATTGCTTGATGGTATAAGGTATTGCTACTACTGGTTTTAAGTTCTTATTTTCTGTAATAGCTGCAGGTTGAGGTGGAAAGAATCGAAATTGGCAAGCCAGAGAACTCAGGTTAGTAGTTGTTCCTACGATGTACTCAATACGATTCAGCATTTTTAGTCCTGTCTTTCAGCTATATAATTTCTTAAGCATTGGACTCCGACTATATTTGGATCAAAGGGCACACTGCATAGAATGAAAGAAAACTTAACCTTAACACCAGACAACTTTCCATAGTTCTCATTACTTCTTAGTCTCTTTCTTCATCAACCACAGTTTGCAAATGCATATTGTAGTTAGAGTTTGGTAGCTAGTACATAGACATAATGGGTTTCCATTGTCTCTATGACCGTTTGGGTATTTGTTAGATATAGTTAATGGAGACCAGGCAGGTATATTAAACTGTTGATTGTGGGTTTACACATCCACACTACCTTTTCTAACCATGGGTTTGCTATATCTGGTTTTTAGTACTAATGTGACAGTTCTGATATCTAACGAAAAAAGTGATTGCAGCTGAACCTGTTATCCCTGAACCTACCGTCTCACCCGTGGAGGAGAAGAACGATGATGGAGAAGAAGAACATCGCGAGATTGATATGGTTGACATATTTGGCTCGTTTACACCAGAGAACGAGAATGCAGACAATGCACACAATGCAGACAATGCGAATGCTGATGGTGGAGAATATGTGGAGAGCTTAAGCAAGCAACCTAGCATCATGGAAGAGGAGATTGCTGATGTGGATGATGATAGCGGCGATGAAGGAGAAAAGGGTCTTAACGCAGCGGAAGCGCTAAGAGCGCAAGTGAACGCAGAGGTACAAAAACGTCAAAGCTCAAGCTCAAGCAGTAGCAGTGGAAGCAGCAGTGGTAGCAGCAGCGGAAGTGACAGTGATGGTCGGAGCAAAAGCATAAGCAGCGGAAGTAGTAGCCGTGGAAGCGGAGGGAGTGACGATGAAGACGAAGTCAACTCCGTGTAACAACAACAACAGTTCCAAGTTCCAACAATCATATGTCAACAATATTTCCAAATTTAAGACGTTGTGTCCGAATAATTGCTTTGAAGATCCGAAAGGGTAAATTTTTACTTACTAAGAATGAACTAGCAAAATATAAATGATATGGTCCTAGTTTCTATTTCCGGAGTTGGGACACAAAAATCCAGAATCTTTTGTGTTTAAAGCTGTCCACTCTTTAATTAATTAATCCATTAATTAATAAATCTCCTCGGGCCGGTTAACCACCCGATCCACTTTTGTTTTCACTCGCTCTCTAAAGCGCGTGAAAAGCACGCAGGTATCTTATGTAATTGGTCTTTTTAAAGACCGAAGATCGTGGAAGACACGCGGTGTAAGGATCGAGTAGTGTAAGAAAGTTGGCAATTACTGTTAAACAATCGAGTTAATTAAAGTTGCCAAAGTTTTTCTCAACCGACTGAGCGGAGATCGAAATTCGTACCTGAGAATCGTTGTCTTCTTCAGAGCCTCCAAGTCCAAATCTTTTGGTTACGTCTCTCTAACCCTAAACCTTATTCTCACACTCTCTCTTCCACTATCCTTCCCTTTCTCTCTCTCTCTTTAAGCTCCATTGTCTCTTCTTGAATTATTCCTTGCTTCTTTTATCCGGCACCGAGATCTCGTCGGGTTCTGATCCCATCCATGCTCGATCTCACTCTCCCGGACTCGCGAAACGCAGAGATCTCATCCTCCACATTTCTCGAGATCCACGTATGAGCTCTAAAACTTTCTGATTTTGATCCGGTGAAAAACCCGTATATATGCTCAATCGGAGCCAGATTCAAAACAAATCCAAGGTGAAGAAAGGAAGACAGTGAACGATGGGAGCTGAAAAGAAATGGCTTTTCACTCTCTTCTCCGTAGTATTCCTCTCAGTCTTCCTCCTCTTACTGTACTCAATCTCTGCTTTCACCTCTAAGCCTTTCCCTTCCACAATCCGTCACGGTGCTCATTACCCACCAGCTTTCGCTTACTACATAACTGGCGGTCATGGAGACAGTGACCGGATCTTTCGGTTGCTGCTCGCCGTTTATCATCCTAGGAATCGGTATCTTCTGCATCTGGGCGCTGAAGCTACTGACTCCGAGAGGCTTGCTCTCCTCTCCGACTTGAAATCTGTGCCTGCTGTGACTGCCTTTGGGAATGTGGATGTGTTGGGAAAATTCGATCGTCTCTCTGATAATGGCGCTTCTAAGATCGCTGCTACTCTCCACGCTGTCTCCATCTTGCTTAAGCTTGATCGCACTTGGAATTGGTTCATCGAGCTTAGCGCCTTGGATTATCCCCTCATTACTCAAGATGGTATGTGTCAATCAAATCGGTTTCTTTCTATTTAAATCCGAAACTAGAGAAGAAACTTTCTTTAATTGGAGAGCAAATGTAGTTCCTTGCTTGTGATTCATTTGCACTATAGATCTTTGTTTTGAGCTATCTTTGAGCTGATGTTTTGTCTCTGATGGCAATGCTTACTCTTAGCTCCTTGAGATTTCAGCATCCATGAATCAATTTACTCTCTTTTGCTTTTCTGGAAAGAAAGGGGAAATGCAATCACCGTCATTGATTAGGACACTGATCTCTTTATGGCAAATTCATGCTTTTGAGCTTTATTACTCCACTTCTTCTGTTTGTCTTCATATGACCTGGATATTCAATGTAATATTTTTTTTCCATTCTCCCAGATCTATCCCATGTGTTTGCCTCGGTGAACAGAAGCGTCAATTTCATTGACCACACTGGTGACCTTGCTTGGAAAGAGTAAGTAAAGACTTTTCCTGGTCTCTCAAATCTGTTCCATGTGCATTCGGTGATGATTATGATAATGTTACCTTTCTGTAGATCTCAGAGAATCAAACCTATTGTTGTCGATCCAGCACTTTACTTAGCCAGAAGAACACAGCTCTTCACTGCTACCGAGAAACGACCAACACCAGATGCTTTCAAAGTCTTCACAGGCAATAGATTCAGTAGCTTAAAATACTTTCTATGGCTACATAGCCCCCCTAATGTGCATAACAGATTTCATTCTAACGAAATTGGCATGTGTTGCTGGTTTGTGGTATCACGCAGGCTCGCCATGGATTGTACTGAGCAGATCTTTCCTTGAATACTGCATCTTCGGTTGGGACAACTTACCAAGAATCCTCCTCATGTATTTCAACAACGTAATTCTCTCCGAAGAATGCTACTTCCACACCGTGATCTGCAACGCACCAGAGTTCAGTAACACGACAGTCAATGGGGACTTACGGTACATGATATGGGACAGTCCTCCAAAGATGGAGCCACACTTCCTTAGCGTCTCGGATTTCGAACAAATGGCTCAAAGCGGAGCAGCTTTCGCTCGGCAGTTCAAGAAAGACGATCCGGTCCTCGACATGGTCGATAGAGAGATTTTGAAACGTGGACGTTACCGGGTCACTCCTGGAGCTTGGTGCTTGAGCCACAGTAGCTGGTGGACAGATCCTTGCTCGGAATGGGACGATGTCAACGTAGTCAAAGCTGGACCTCAGGCTAAGAAACTGGACGAGACAATAACTAATTTTCTTGATGATTTGAATTCACAAACGAATCAGTGCAAGTGAAGAGGATGGTGAGGGAGTTTGGAGTCATTATACGGACACGACACGAGATTACATTGTTTTTTTCAGATCTGTAAGGTTAAAATTCTTTGGGCAACAGTGGCGCTGTATTTATACGAGGAGAAGAGGAAGGAGAGATTATGTTCTCTCTTCCCCAGATTCTGTTAAGCCACTATAAAAATTCATTAGTCGTCGTCTACCATTTCGCAATTCGATGAACCATTTGTTCTTGTTGTCTCTTTCTTAGTATATTATACTCTACCAAATGCCATCATTATTAATGGAGACTGCGATTTTTAGGGTTTAAAGGTAATCGAAAGTGAAATCTAAATCTCTTCTCCAATGTTCTTTCGCTTCGCCGGGAAACTACACGGAGGGCTTCTCTCTCGTCGTGCCTACTTGAGACTCAGTTTTGTTAAAGGACAGAGCTTTGGTATCGAGTCGATTCCATGGATTCAAAAGGCTTCGAATTTGAATTTTTACGAATCAATTCACGCTGGTTCCGTTGAAACCCAAGTTTCAACTATTGCTGCTGATGATGAAATCAGAGTTTCGCAAGACGCAGAGAGAATCTGCAAGATCGTATCCAAAATCTCGGACTCGAGCGTCGAGAATCTGCTCGACGAAGCTTCTGTTAAACTCTCGCCGGCGCTGATGGAGGAAGTACTGAAGAAGCTGAGCAACGCTGGTGTTCTAGCTCTGTCCGTATTCAAATGGGCAGAGAATCAAAAGGGTTTCAAGCACACGACTGCGAGCTACAACACGTTGATCGAGTCTCTAGGTAAGATCAAGCAATTCAAACTCGTTTGGAGCCTTGTAGACGACATGAAGCAAAAGAAGCTTTTGAGCAAAGACACGTTCGCGCTCATCTCTAGACGATACGCTCGAGCCAGGAAGGTTAAGGAAGCTATAACCACGTTTCACAAGATGGAAGATTACGGCTTTAAGATGGAACCAACTGATTTCAATCGAATGCTTGATACTTTGAGCAAATCAAGAAACGTCGGGGATGCACAGAAGGTGTTCGACAAAATGAAAAAGAAAAGGTTCGAGCCTGATATCAAGTCGTATACTATTTTGCTCGAAGGTTGGGGTCAGGAGTTGAATCTTTTGAGAGTTAATGAGGTTTACGGAGAGATGAAAGACGAAGGTTTCGAGCCTGATGTTGTGACTTACGGTATCATCATCAATGCGCATTGCAAGGCTAAGAAGCATGATGAAGCTATTAGATTCTTCAATGAGATGGAACAGAGGAATTGCAAGCCAAGTCCACACATTTTCTGCAGTCTGATCAATGGGCTTGGCTCAGAGAAAAAACTGACACAAGCTCTCGAGTTCTTCGAGAGATCAAAGAGTTCTGGGTTTCCTCTTGAAGCTCCAACTTACAATGCACTAGTTGGAGCTTATTGCTGGTCAAAGCGAATGGAAGACGCGTTCAAGGTCGTGGAACAGATGAGATCAAAAGGAGTTGGTCCAAATGCAAGAACGTATGATATAATCTTGCATCATCTGATCCGAATGCAGAGGACGAAAGAAGCTTATGAAGTTTATCAGCAGATGAGTTGTGAACCGACGGTGAGTACTTACGAGATCATGGTGAGGATGTTCTGCAACAAAGAGAGATTGGATATGGCGATCAAAATTTGGGATGAGATGAGAGGAAAAGGTGTTCTTCCTGGGATGCATATGTTCTCGAGTTTGATCACAGCTATGTGTCATGAGAACAAATTAGACGAGGCTTGTGAGTATTTCAATGAGATGTTGGATGTGGGTATTAAGGCACCGGGACATATGTTTAGCCGTCTTAAACAAGCGCTTCTCGATGAAGGCCGGAAAGATAAAGTCGTGGATTTGGCTGTGAAGATGGATAGGCTGAGAAAAACTCAACTTCTTAGCTGAAAAAAGGATTTTCTCGGCTCTGTTTCTCTTCTTGTTCATCGCTTCTACTACGTTTTGTTTATCTTTTTGGACTATTGAATTGTTATGATTTATGGTCTATCCAAAATTTCCAGAAGATAATAGTAGTTAAACTCTTTTCTCTCCGAGCAAAAATGCACGGAAACAGTCGTCCAAACCGTGATCTGTGATGGTTCTTTCTTCATAATCTTTAAGCTGTCTGCTGTCCGAGTAGTAATCTAAGCATCCTATAAAAAAAAAAAAAATCTAAGCATCTTAGACTACACTATCACTCTATCATAAATTGTTGTTACGGTATCTCTACTGTTTAGCTTTATTACAATGTTTTGTGATATCTTAATTCAGAATTCAAAACGTAAAAAATAGTTAATAAAATTCTCATCGCTAATCGTCTAGACTTCAGTAAAAAATTTTGTTGGTTTAGTAATTACAAAATAAATGTAACTTATTAGCTGAATGCTCCCCTAAATGCTCATTCCTCCATGTGAAAACATAGAAAAAGGAATATTTAATAGAGCATTTACATCTTCTAAATGCTTTCCTAAATATTATATTAACAAAAGTTTATTGACTTATTATAAATCGGGCCTAATTATAAAGAATTATGCCCATGAATATACACTACCAATCAAGCTCAAGAAGTACAAAACTAATAACTCCAACATTTACACACAAAAAACCCCAACATATCTTTATTGTGGTCGTGTGTTAGACTGTTAGTATCACTCTACTGACATTAATGACTACAAGTCTACAAAACAAACAGGGCCTATGTTAACTTGGTTTTTGTACGAGCGACTCTGTAAAGCTATACACGTATCAATAGAGCATTCGTTGATTAAAATCTCGATTAAATTGAATAAAAGTAGTTCATTAAATTGAACACATGATGATGTCGTCAAACACTGTGAGGATGAGATGTCTTCGATAGGGTTTATGACTTAAGTTTCATCGCCATGACAAACGACAAGTCAATGTAATTAAAGTAACAATATGATTTTTCATAGCAAAAGAATAAATTTAAAGTAACAAAAAAAAAAATCTCTACTTTAAAAGGGAGGCTATCCTAAATGCTATTTCAGGGCAACCCTTTTATGGAATTAACTTTAAATATGTAAACCTCTTTTTTAGCATATTGTTGATAGGATATTTTAGTATTTTACTCAAAAGTAATTTTATGAATCATGGCGATCAGGTGATTATTTACCTCTGTGAAAAAACATTACTCCTAATATGAATATATGATGCATTATTTGCATTAAGTACCTTCATAACTTTGATATAATGACCATACACATTACTTTTATGATACTAAAAAATAATATTGCCTTACTAATAAAAAATAGTCAATATATTGAATTTGAAATTCGACCGATGTGTTTTATCTGTGGTTTTAACTTTGACATTAGTCGGCCGCTTTGACAAAACCAAGATTTTCTGTACTGAATTTCAATATAAAATAATAACATTAAAATGGTAAACCATTCTCATTATAGTTTAATTATACAAGTAAAATTGTAATCTACTTTTTGGGATGAAACAGAGTATCTCTTACCCGAATTTTTTTTCACAACAAAGTAGGTATGTGTGTGTAGCTTAGAGTTAGAAGAGAAACATAGAAAAATATAACTTTGTAAAAGGAAAAAGAGGTTCAAGAATGTTATAATTGGGGTGTAATAGAAGAAAACGCCAACGAAGTTTAAAGGGTGGAAAGTATAAAGACACGAACAAAAAAATATCAAATTATGTAAACAATGAAAAATATGTGGAGGGGCTTAGAACTTATTATTCAAACTATAGACTACATAAAATAGTTAGATTGAGTTGTCTACTTCGTAAAATCGGACCCCCACACACCTTATTTGCTCATCGAATCATTGCCCCTTAAATTGCTACATTCCTTTCTATCTTCTTTTGTTCTATTACTATTCCCTTTTACTGTTACATACCTAAATTAAATAATTGAATGCGTGAAAGTGTTGTTTATCTATAAACCTATTATTATCATTCATCCGATCTTGCACAAATCCAAAGCGTAGCGAAACAGCTAAATTATTATGGTCGTGTCGTTTTCAATACACGATTACAAATTTTGCCATAAACTTATATTTACATACCTACATCATATATAGCTATAAGTATAGGCTATTAATACTCATAAAAAAATGTAACCTAACATCTATACAAAAGAAAAGTTTAAGATGGTAAAAGAAATATCGACACAACCGTAATTGCCATTACCGACGCATTAAATTTGATGCATGTGAATTGTGAGGTGATTGGTATGATAAACCTTTAGTCCCGTGACATTGTTTAAAAAGAACCGATTGAAGAAAAACTATCGCTTAAAAAAGAACATTTTTTTGTTAAAGGGCCTTCTATTTAAAAAGAACATTAGATAACTACCCTTTTGTTAATATATAAAACGGAGATTAGAATTTTTCTAACAAAGAAATCGGCCGAGTCGTGTGAAATAGCCCACAAATGGCCTCGTTGTCCGCCGTGTGAATCTTAGGAGGCACACATCATTAGAGGGCCACCTCGTCGTTATAACACCTTCCTTATTTCACATTTTATGAGTATTAAACACATTTAATCATTAGTTAATTGATGTATAATCTTCGCTACACAACTTGCTCATTAAGTCATCATATACTTGCTACTACTTACTATAAATATGATCGAGTCGAGTCGAGTCCATAATACATATATACATCTCGATCGAGTTATATACATATCGATCTGCTCTCTGTGTCTTGGTGAGAGAAGATGGGAGTTCTTGATTCTCTTTGCGATTATATCTCCGACTACTTCCACGTCTCCAGAAAAAGGAGGAAGCGTAAAGTCATGCAGGTTTATATATATTTACAAATTACAACCACGTCGTTTTGCTACTAAACTATTTTGCCCCATCTTCTTAATTAAGATGTTGTTGTTGTACGTAGTTTAAAAAAAAAAAATCAAAACTCATTATATACCTTGCACTCTAGTTTTGAAGATGTTGGTTTCGTTTCCTCAAAACTATTTTTTTTTTAATGAAAACTATGATTTAAAGTGGGAAAATCTAAGAACTACATTTATCTTTGTTTTTATATATAAAAGAAATCGATAACTACAAACACAAAAATTCCACAAAAATTTCTTCCAATTCGAAGCCTAATTTTTGGTTTCTTTTAACCTTTTTTTTGTTTTCCGTTCTGGGGCAGACGGTGAATATAAAGGTCAAAATGGACTGCGACGGCTGCGAACGCAGAGTCAAGAACGCTGTTTCCTCCATGAAAGGTTCGAATCTCTCTCTAGCTTCTTATATCAATGATTGGTTTCTTTCGTTCTCCTTGTAATTTCTTGATTTCCATATATAAACCCTCACTAATTTCATAAAAATCCATCTAATAATATGCTGCTAATTCGAAAATGACGCAGGGGTAAAATCGGTGGAAATGAACAGAAAGATACACAAAGTGACGGTGAGTGGTTACGTGGAACCGAAGAAGGTGTTGAAGAGAGTCGAAAGGACAGGAAAAAAGGCGGAGATTTGGCCGTACGTTCCGTACAACGTGGTGGCATATCCGTACGCAGTCGGAGTCTACGACAAGAAAGCTCCGGCCGGTTTTGTGAGGAAGTCGGAACAGTCGCAGCCGTTTCCCGGAGCTCCTGACGACAAGATTATGTCTCTTTTTAGTGACGAGAACCCCAACGCTTGCACCGTTATGTAATAAACAAATTAGTATTTACCAAACGCATGTAACACGTTGAGTTAAGTAAATTGTCTCCTTTTCTCTTTTTGTAATCATGTGTATGCAAAAATGAAGAATCAACTAGTGTAAATTATCATATAAACTATACACATATGTAAAATCATTAGCCAAAAAAAAGTTAAATCAATGCATGCTCTTGTGAAAAAAAATTTATGAATAATACTATTGTGGTTAATATAGCGAAGGAGTAATAATACTATTGTGGTTATACGCTAAAGTTTATTCGATAATATTTATTGTAATTTGCAGTAAATAGATGTTTCATTTGTTTTTTTGTACTTATGACTTTATGAGTAACTAAAGTGATTAATCATATAGAACTAATTAGTATGCCTTGTAATTTTGATAGTAAAATGCAAAATCATGTAGATATATTAAATTGTGTAGTATATGAGTTTTGATAAGTAAAATTATGCTTTGCGCTTGTATAAAATATAGTGTTTATAAGTAAAGTTTTCAAATAAATAAAACGACGGAACAGATTAATGTAAAAATACGGTTTAGTGTTTGATTGAGGGCAGAATTTAGACTAGAACAAAACTACATACTTTGAGTTTAATTGGGTTCGTGGAGGCAGGAGATTGGTCAGAGAAAGTGTTGTGAGATGGCTTTGAGGAAAATATTACCAAGTGAAATAATTATACATTAATAAACTAAAGTATCCAACTTTTACGTAATTTCAGACACGTAGAAGATCCATCAGCGATCAACTAGATTTTTTCGAAACCATTTAATATACTTGTTCCTCAAGCACCTGTTTAATCCTTACAGCGAGTGATCTCTAAATGAAGATCCAAGAAGATTAGAATTCTTTATATATTAGAATATTCCGGTGCTTAGGATGAGAGGACATCTATAAGTAGTAAGTACATATCGCTGTCGAGAATCCAATCAATTAATTGTTTGAGACAAACTGAAACGACTTATTATTAAAATGGTTTAGCACACAATTTTAAATTTTAAATGGTATGTTAGATTTGTTGAACTTGTGAAAAGGACGCAGAACAAAAACAAATGGAGAGACGAGAAACCTACTCAAACCTCACATGAAACGCAAACGCGAAACGCGTCGCGTTTTAATACAGTGTTGGCAAGACTTGAGGGGGTTCGTCTTCGTCCTTTGATGTTGACAACCAAGTCATGTAGGGAGGTGGACCTTTTAGATCATCGCCACGTGTACAATCCCTAAGACATCGACGGCCCTCGGTCATTTTGACTAGGAACATGGAGACGAAGAGAGCGACTCAAAACTCCAAAGTCAAGTCAATACTGTGATTTGCCAATTATCAAAAGCATAGATATTCAAATGAAAATAATCATTATTAGTTTATTATCAACAAATGTAATTTCCCAATTGTCCCTAATCAGAGAAGTAGGGGTGGGCATTCATTCGTTCTCTGGCTCGTTTACATTCGATTTTTTCGGTTTTCAGTTTTCAAATACTTATGGGATAGCCAAATTAGCCATTTTGATTTGATTCGTTCCAATTTGAAAATTTCGGTTGGATCCAAGTTCAGGCTTGGTTCAGATATTCGGTAAATAAATTTATCTACTGCTCATTTTAGAGATATTCGGTAAATAAATTTCTCTACTGCTCAATTTTAAAAAATTATGTTCGACTCCGTCTGTTGTTCTCAGCCCTCGAAGCAAGAGTGATAATATTCTATCGGGCCGACATGCAAGTAGAATTTTAGACTGGCATGTATGTTGTAATGGGCTTTCCTCTGCTCTACTAACCGGTCTAATTTTCATTCTACCTCCAATGGCCAATAGAGTCGGAGATGTGGAATTATAACACCGGAATATATAAACAAGAGATAATTAAGTTAATAATCAATTTTCAATAACAAATAAAGAAAATATACATACAATTTTTATAAATAAACAAATAACATTTTAGACGTTATTAGGACAAAATTGCCCTTATGAATATTTATAGAAACTATCATAAAATAGATGTTCTTATACAACTTCAACAATAAAATTCAATTAAATTATACAATTAAAAAAAAATATTTTATACACATAAAAAATATTATCAATATTAAAACAAAAAAGAAACATTTTTATTTTAAATATAGTGATCTAAAAAAGAGAGAATTTTGTTGCACGTAGAATATATATAAGTTAATATAGATAATTTATGTAATATAGAAGATATAATATAGTTAATATATGTAAGTTAATATACAAGTTTTTGTGTAGACTAACTTTTAAAACTATAAACAAAATCAAATTCCTCATCAATTTTTTCTTCAAGATAAATACGTCTGATCAATTTGGGTTTTGATCCTTTTGGAAAAGGGCAATATCTGTTTTAAGCAACTTGGGTTTCTGAAGTTGTGCTATGTGAATTGATATTTGAAACTAATGAAGAGAAGTTAAAAAACAAAAAAAACAAAAAATATCTCAGTTCAGAGAATGGTCAAGATTCACTTGTTTCAAGAGGGATCCTTTCAATTCGAAAACATTTCCTTTTTTTGTCAAACTTTAAATTTCATTAACTCATAAAACATCGTCTAAAAGAGCTCGAAAAGCTTCTTTGGCTACAGAATCCGCCACGGTATTAAGAGTCCGGGGGATATAAGCAATAGAGAAAGCAGAAAAGAATATCGTCAACAGACGAATATCGGAAACAATAGCATGGATCTCATTAAGGGATTCTTGAGATTCTAAAACATTTCCTTAAGCCATCTTTTCGCTTGGAAAATTTGAGGAGCTAATCAATGTGTTGACGAAATTGCTTATTATACTTTGACTATTATTCATCGTTTTAATCCCAAATCATCTTGGGAATCGATTGAAAGAATCCTTACCATAATCACCTATTTTCTTGAAAAATTCTTTTCCGCTTACACCCTAATTTAAAACTCTTCATTTAATATTTAACCAAAAGCGATTCTATTGAATAATAAAAACAATGCATTATACAAATGGTCACTTTATTACATGGGTCAACATTCAAGTCTTCTTGATACAGTTGAAGGAGAATCATGTTACCAATTTTTTAGAAAACAATCAACTTATAGTTACTTTTACATAATCAATTTACAACCACAAATTCATAGTTTACATTGGAACCAAAATCTTTGATTTTGTTTTTTTGGTCAAACTGGAACCAAAATCTTTAGGTACAGATAAAAGTGTAGAATTAAATTTGTTACTGTGGCTTTTGAAATTCTTTGACCAACTCTATTTTTATCTTTATATGATTTATTAACTAAAATTTACATGTATGGAAGCTATAAGAAAAAAATAATGTTGAAAACAAAACCTAAATTATTTGATTGTGGATATATTCGTTACACATATATGATCTATATACCAAAAACCCATTGGACTTTTACAAATACAGAACAACATTCTAAAACTCATGAGTGTGAAAGCAAAGACCGATAAAGTAATCTCACACATGACACACCACACACTCATATTCATTATAAATACACAAAATTCCAAAGGACATCTTCAAACTTCTCTTCCCAACTTTCGAGTATTCCACACACATACCGACAGAGAATCTGCTCTGCCCAAAGAGCCGGCACTGGTTGGAGAAAATACATGGAGTTTGTGCTTTGTAGTAAAACGATGACCAGGGTCATGTTGCTGCTACTTGTAACGATGACGTGTCTCGTAGCCGGAGACGCAGGAAGCACGAAGCCTGAGGAGCGACTGTTCAACGTTGAGAAGCTGGAGATGTTCGTTGACGAGCTTCCTCATATCCCCACTCTTCGTGGCTTCCACTTCGTCAATGGCTTCCTCAAACCCAAATCTCTACAAATCGGCATGTTCTTCAAGAAATGGGTATTTTTTAGTTTCTTTCCTTTCTTATTAATTCTCGTTTTCGATTCTTTCCTTTTTTTCTCAATTTTTCCTGAAGCTATTTTAGTAGTGTTATTAAATTTAATACACAGTCAAGTCTTTCGTGGAGACAGATCATCTCCATTTCTGTCTTGAGGCTATAAATTGCCAAAATATTTAGATAGATATACATATAAGTATATAACCACCAGTTAGTGATGTACACCTGTATTACATGCAAGAAAAAAAAAACTAATTGTTTTGAATTTGAACTCATTAACGACAAAACTAAACTTATTAGAATTTTCAAATTATAAGGATTAGTGAGGCTAATCGCTTTTTAGTTGGCTACGCCTCTTCGTTGGTGAAGTGACTAAAGTCATCGTATGAATATATTCCCTTGTGTGTTTTAACTCTTGTCCTCTTGGAAAAATATCTAATACCGAGTACGACGAATCAATGCTCTTTAGTATAGTCAAATTTAATATTCTTTGCTCTCTTAACACTTGTTTTGATTAATTATACTAAGAACAACATTCTTTGTTCTTTTTTTTCGCCGACTATTTTATAAGATCTTTAAAAACTTAGTACCCACCACTAAATCACTAACTAAATAATAATAATTGCTTTTCTAGCACTTTAGGCTCAGCTAATCATGCTCAACCTTTTGAAATTACTTAATTAGTCTGCTAAGTAATCGAATCATATTTGAAAAAAAACAAAAAAAATTAAACATTGTGTCACTGACTCACTGATGTGAATTAAATTATTGAAAAAACCTACAGAAATTCCACAGAGATTTGCCTGCCACGCCAGTTTTCGCATACGGTATATCGAAGCGTAAGGCATCGGTTCCTGGACCCACAATCGAAGCCGTATACGGAGTCGATACTTACGTGACGTGGCGAAATCACCTCCCTTCATCTCACATCCTCCCTTGGGACTCAACAATCTCCCCTGCGATCGCCAAACGCGGCGGAATTCCCACGGTGGTTCACTTACACGGCGGAATCCACGAACCGACCAGCGACGGAAACTCCGATTCCTGGTTTACCTCCGGTTTCAAAGAGACCGGAACAAAATGGACTAAAACGACGTCGCATTACGTCAACAAGCAACATCCCGGAAACATGTGGTACCACGATCACGCGGCGGGTTTGACCAGAGTCAACATTCTCGCCGGTTTATTAGGCGCTTACATTCTCCGCCATAGCTCCGTCGAATCGCCTCTCCGGTTACCAACCGGCCGCGAATTCGATCGTCCTTTGGTCGT